TTATTATTGTTAGTGTTCATGACATGCTGAATGTGAGAATCATATTGACACGCTTTCAATGTCATGCTGAATAGGTGTTGCATGTCATGTTATATATTTATGGATTACTTTTTACGTGTTCAAACGTATATATTAGGTGTTGTATTGAGGTGAGAGTAGAAACCTATGTACACTAATAATTGTGATTGAACGAGCGATAGTTCATATCCCCACTTTATCTCATTGTGTCTCGAATAACTATTATTCCTAGTATATTGAATATTCAGTACACATCTGGACGACTTTTCTGCACAGCTAGGTTTTGTTAGTTAGCAAAATATCAATTTAATTCTTTGACGTGTGTAAAACATTCTTGCATAAGAAATTGAGTATACCCTTGTCCATTTTTTTCAGTTTCCGACCTCCATCCTTAAAGAGGACAAATTGTCACAGTATATTATGATTAAATATTACCATAATGTTTTTCCGCGTTGTACGACCATATTTCTGTTTATATAAAAACTAAATAGCGTTCCTTATTGGCACCAACATTAACTGCAGCTAGCTTAGTATTTTCATGCAGAATCAGGGCAAACCAAAACTCAATCATAATGCAATAAAATGTCATTGAATTGTTGACATATATATTGTGTAGGTGGTGGGTTTTAAGTTAAAGCCTTCGTGCCTCTATGTATTCTCTACACAGGCTGTATTTCATGCTTTGAAAAAGTTTAAGGCCACATCTGTTTTATGTTATGCTCACGTGATATAATGCTGTAAACTAAGGTGGCTAATTAACCCTACAGTCTTGAAATATTTATACTAAGATTTTAATCTAAAGAATTAACAGTTAAAGCACCTTTATGTTAATGACTGTACTACGGTAACACCTGAGCGGATCGAAACGACTAATCGACGTAGTCAACAATGATACTTTCAGCAATTGTGAAGTAATAATAATAATATAACTGTTTCCCCGGTAAACAGTACGTGATGTTTACAATAGTCCAAATATTTGCATTTTCATTTTAACACAGTCGCCATATGTCAGCTAGGGTGGCTGGGAATGCTTGTTATAAACTGATCAAGCGGTATTAACATATCATCGCTGCCAAGTTAAAATTTAATCATAATTTAAAATAATATATAATTATTTCAGCCCCTGAAAATATTTTTTCTTTGCGTTTGGTAAAGTGAATTTCGAGTGGTGGTCACTTACCGGAATCTAGTGAGAGACTCAATATGCATTTTTTAAAACTAGGAGTTGGGTAGGAGTTAGATAATGTTCTTAATTAGTTTATTTTTCGAATTTGCGATACTATCATTATCATTTTTTTCTGCTCAATATTTGTTTAAAGATTTCTTTAATTGTTCATAGATGTTGTTTAATTTTGAAGCAGTACTTTGTTTGTATGTATCTGTTATTTGCTTTTTTACTTTATTTATTTTGAAGTCTTCATTTAGTAATGTGTTTTCGCTGGTACTAACACGATTGTATTTTTTTATAATTTGTTTTTGAATGAAAACTTCAATCGAATATCTACCCAGTTTGCTATAACTATAGTTAATTTGGATTGTGCCTCAAATGATCAAATGTACCAATGAAATGAAAAAATATGATATTGTAATTTTGGCATGGATGCCGCCGCCATAGTATACTAAACCTCAGACCCAATCTGCCTGGCTACATATGGCGACAGTGTTATAATGAAAATGCAAATATTTGAACTATTGTAAACACCACGTACGTTTTATCGGGGAAACAGTTATATTATTATTACTTCACAATTGCTGAAAGCATCATTGTTGACTACGTTGATTAGTCGTTTCGATCCGCTCAGGTGTTACCGGTAGTACAGTCATTAACATAAAGGTGTTTTAACTGTTAATTATTTAGATTGAAATCTTAGTACAAATATTTCAAGGCTGTGGGGTTAATTGGCCACCTTAGTTTACAGCATTATATCACGTGAGCATAGAATAAAACAGATGTGGTTTTAAACTTTTGTTTTAACGTATGGTATACAGCCCGTGTAGAGGATACGGGAGAGTACGAATGCTTCAACTGACTTAAAACCCAATACCCAAATATATATATACATTGATATTTTTAATTTCTGTCAACAATTCTGAATAGATTTCGTAATGAGAAAGGGGTCATACCCATATTCTGGAATGAAATATTCTATACAATTCTTAGAACGCTTAATACACAAGGCATGAACGCAACACACGTGTACGTGAGCGATGATCATGTGCGGTGTTTTATGTAATAATTACACGATTCTTCATATATACATACAATTGTATTACAAATTGTTTGTATATAATAAAGTGAATTATTGAACTTATTTGTGTACAATAACAGAGAGCTAATCACTTATCAATCTGATTAAAATCTGATGTAGTGTACGGGTTTTAATTATTTTGCCTATAAACATATTTTAATTTTATTTTTTATTACTTTTGTTAATAATGCCCTTTTATTTTATTATTTTACTTTGATTTTGATTTTGTGATTTTTTTTTAATTCCGCCCTACCTACATCTGACCCGATGCCTATGTAACGAGATTTCAACGAGACCCACTATCGACGATTTTAGTCAACGAATCACAGACCTCCTTCTATAGCGCACATGATGACGTCACCGGGCGGAGTCGGGTGTAAAACACACTCAAATAAAATGGCGGATTATACCGACGTTAGCGACCGAGAATAACACGGTTTTTCTGTAAGTTTATCATTGTCAAATGCAACGAAAGTCATTTTTATGTTAATATTGTGGCTCGAATGGTTCGACTTTAGATCGTTATTTTGCATAGTTATTCTGGGAGTGACGATTTTGTTTCCACCGTTTCGACCGAACACCAGTGTCTTTTTCCAGTCGTCTGCCCTGGAGACGGGTGATGTTTTGTGACGATCGGGT